CTACCATAAAAATTTAAAAAGAAAACTAAAGTAATCATTTTAAATGGTTAAAAGTAATTCATGCTAGGAAATTTAACAGTCTGGGTTTGTTTTTTCAGGAATTTCTGACAGGCCTGTCGATGATGACGAGAGGTCCGACAGTTGATAAGCTTCGATGGACTTTCAGACTGTACGACATTGATCAGGATGGCCGCATCGGACGTGATGAAATGCGGGAGATAATACACTCCATTTACCTGATGCTTGGACGATACACGGAACCCTCCGTCCACGAATTCACGGCAAAACATCACGCAGACCAAGTCTTCGAAGTGAGTATCTATGCGTTTATAATACAGTCTATGGTCATATTATTATACTCACTCAAAATCTTAATTACCAGCTGATACTTTACAGCATTATTGTTTTTACACGATTGCAACCGGTTTGCACTTATTTACAGTAATATTTACTGTAAAATTACTGAATCATTGTTAGTAAATATACAGTCCCTGGTCATATTATACACACTATAAGATTCTATGTAAAATCTTAATTACCAGGTGATACTATACAACTTTATTGTTTTTACGCTGTTTTCACTTGTTTACGTTACGTGTATCAATGGGTTAAATTAGACGATATATAATATAAATTCAACTGTTGGATAATTTAGACAATATATTATATAAATATAGAATATTTATTCTTTAGTATATTATAATAATTAGACCTAACCATTAGATGCACTTTAGTGTTTTAATAATGACATGTTTTGCACGAGTTTATAGGCAATACTTTATCTTTAGACATACATGTAAGTCTTATTCGGGAGATTTTTTATATACTTCCTATTTGTATTTATTTTTAACGTACTGCATTACAATATTAACCAATTGATAAACGAACGTAAACAAGTGCAAATCGGTTTTAATCTCGTAGAAACAATAAAGCTGTAGAGCATCTCTTGATAATTAAGGTTTACATAGAATCTTTTAGTGCGTCTAATAATTTAACCAAGGACTGTATATTACTGAAAAAACTACAATATAAAATTTTACGTTAAGAATGGATTTTGAGGTAAACTGGATTTTACGGTACTCAAGATGCTTGTTTTTATTACTATAATGTTATGCAGAATTTCTTAGAGTTGAGCGGCAGCGAACAAGGGACTCAACTTCCCCAGTATTTCCATTATAACAGAATAATTTATGACCCAATGGAAAATTTGAAGAAACATTTTTTCTGATTTTCAGAGGTTGGATCTCAACCAAGATGGCTACGTTACATTCGACGAATTCCTGGAATGTTGTCAAAAGGTAACTTTATTTCTCTTTTATTTTAACCTCCCCACATTTCATAAATCTATTTTTTTTTCATTTATAAAGAAGACCATGGCTTGAAAAATATAATACTATTTTCTTTCGTTATTTTAAAATATATTTAATTTCCTACATCATGAAAAATGAATATGAAAAAGTTAACACTTATTTAAAATTATCATTGTTTGAAAAATACTTATTTTTCCAAAACTGGGTATTTTTTACTATGGGATAATTTAAAAATTTCAAACAATTTGCGGATTTGATAGTTTACTCCCATTTTAAACACAAAATAGCTGTTTTTCTAGTCATAAGGACCTGAAAGAACTATACATATTTAAAAGAATTTCGCAAAATTCACGAAAAATAAGTTATAAATTAAAGTGTGAAAAAAACAAGTTTACTAAACTGTCAACTGCATTGTAAAATATCAAAAAAGAATAAGCTGCTATGCCAGAAATGTGACATGTTAATCTTTTAAAAGCTGGTCTTCATGTTTTACACAGTTTCAATTTCGATTGAAATCAATCTGCATAAAATATGATCATTCGAAGGCTTGGCTTATCATTGGCCTTTTTCAGAAATTTCAAAAAAGTAATTTAATTATTTTGAGGAAACCGATCCACTCCGAATAATAAATTACTTCGCTTCGCTTCAAATTATTTTGTTTACGTTTCACTTCGTTACTCTTTTTTTTTTTGGTTTAGTTTTCTTTTTTTTCTTAACTTTTTTTTTTTTATCTATGGTACTATCAATCTAGAAGTTGTTCAGACTACGAGAAAACTGTCAAGGAGCCATATTTCTTCGACTTCTACTTCTTCCAATAGAATAAACATATTTTTACTCTAGTGAGAGGAGGGGAAAAAATACAAGTCCTTTTCTGTTATTAGACGCACTATAAAATAAAATTCTATTCCATATTATTAGACGCACTATAAAATTCTATTCCATATTATTAGACGCACTATAAAATTCCATTCCATATTATTAGACGCACTATAAAATTCTATTCCATATTATTAGACGCACTATAAAATTCTATTCCATATTATTAGACGCACTATAAAATTCTATTCCATATCATTAGACGCACTATAAAAATCTATTCCATATTATTGGACGCACTATAAAATTCTATGTTAAATTATAATTATTAGGTGATACTATATACAGCTTTATTGTTTTTACTCGGAAGAAACCGGTTTGCATTTGCTTACGCTCCTGTATCAATGGGTTAACATGGTGATGCAATACGTTAAAAATAAATACAAATGGGAAGTATATAGAAAAACTCCCGAATAAAAACCCATTACATGCAGGGCTAAAGAGAATAGAAGGGCTAGTTCACTCCGCTCTTAGAGCTGAAGCTACGATTTCCCTCCTCATGACGTCACTGTGTCCACAGATCTCGGAGATCGNTACATGTATGTTTAAACATAACATTTTTGCCTATAAACTCGTGCAAATCATATCATTATTAAAAAACTTCAGTGCGTCTAATAATTTGATCTAATTATTATAATATACTAATATATTACCTGATATAATTAATATTTATATAATATAACGTTCAATTTTATCCTATCGTCAAATTTATATTATATATCGTTTAATTTAACCAATTGACATACTAACGTAAACAAGTGCAAACCGGTTTCAGTCACATAAAAACTCCCGCCGACCCGAGCCGAAGGGAATCCGAAACAGTGACCCCGCACCCCTACT